TGTGTAACATGGCAGAAAAAAAATTGGTTTTGTGTTTTAAGCACTAAACAATGGAAAAAAAAATTTGGCTAGAACTCCATTAAAATTAACACACAAAGGAGAGAAGAGACAGCAAGAGAGATGGAAAGAAGGAAACAAATTCAAAGAATGAAGCCCCAGGAGAGCAGGCAGTGCACAGAAGTAAACAAAAAAAAAAAAAAATCAGAGATGAGAATGGCAATAAGACACTGATAGGGATTTATTCTCTTCTATATTCTTTGGACATATCCTAATGAAAGAGATTTAGATCGAAGTTTCTCCTCTCTTCTTCTTCCTCTAAATATCTAGAGCATTGCTCTGGATGTTTCCAGATCTACACTACAGAGAGTTTTTGAATCTGCTAGAGAGCTCTGAGACTATATCCACAGGAAAACACACATTTACCAACTGCTCTGAGAAGTGGACTAAGAAAGTGAAGTGGTCTTGCCACCACCAAGATCCTTGTTAAGAACCCAGATCAATTTACATTCCAGCAATATCAGCAATATGGGGGAGAGCTACACCCTGACAAAGTTAGTCCAAGACTGCCCTAAGAGGCAACAGTCAAGTTACCTCTGCTGCTCAGAAAATATTTACGTTATTCTAAAGTCACAGAGTAATAACGCCTGACATGAAAAACTCTATGTCTTCAGAAGTACTTGTAACCTGAAAGCATTTTCTTGCCAATTTTGTTGCCAACGAAGGGACTGTTATTGTGCAAGAGTTGTTCATGACAGTCCAGTAGTGTCACTGCCCAAAACAAAAATCAATAATGGAGAAACACATGATTCTCACTTGCTGAAGAGTCACCCAGGATAACTGGATACACAAAAAACCTAACAGTAAAGTCAAGTCACTCAAGCTGACAAAATCACTTCTACCACTCCACAGCATTGACAAAAAATGAGATTATGACTGGCATGTTTAATTCACCAGAAGACATATGGCAAAGAGGCCACCTGAGGGAAGAAGATTGCTGGATTTCACCAAGCAGTAAAAGACTCCTCACCATGATCAGATCTGCGGTTGGTGTGGGGTCACACCTGCAACCACACCTCTCAAACCAAAAGCATTAGCTGTGCTACTCACTCCCTTCCAAAGGGCACACATGCACAGAAACAACTCCCCGCACTGCTACCACGAATGAAATCTCACAAAAATATGGTTAAGTTTCTGGTGTCTAGTTTTCAGTAGAGAATAAATTATTTTCAAAATTCATCAGCCTGGCTGAAGGAAGAAATGTTGCCTGCTAGTCACAAGGCATTGATCAAGTTTTATCTCTTCAGAAATCACAAAAACCTAATGCTGTCTCCTGCTAAACAGAGCACCCTCCAGACTAGTGCCATCAGCTGCTCCTATGCTTTTGTTAGAAAATAGGGATATTTTCAGTTTGTTTAAGAGCATATTCTTCTCCCACCTCCACACAGATTTTCTGCTTAATTCCCAATGTCTAGGAACTATTCAAATTCTTGCAAGATTATAAATGACAGCAAGCTGCCATTGGGAACACAACCTGATGCAAGGTATTACCAAGTGATTCTCAGTGATTTGATTATTTTAATAAGCATAACCTTCCACAACTATAGCCCATTTTAGACTAATGTGTTTTCCAGCATCCTCTGTACCAGCAATCTCCACCCTCCCCCACCCCTCAAAAAAAAAAAAAAAAAAAAAAAAAAAAAAAACAAAAAAAAAAAAAAAAAAAAAAAAAAACAAAAAAACCCCCACAAAAACAAGGAAAAAAAAAAGCCAACACATCTGCCCGCTAAATTAAGGACATACACCATGAACAGCTTTGCAAGTGGAAACCAGTCATGCATGTGAAGCTAATTTTTTAGAGCAAATTAGATAATTCAGCTTTCTATTCTATCCTCCACCCGGCCTAACTCTTTCATCCTGTCCGGTTGTGCAACAGCATTTAAAACACACAACGCTACCTCAGGCAGGGTTCAAGTCAATCATTACACAGCGCGAATGTCACCGTTACCTCTACTGTACAGCAGCGGGCATTGAGAGCCAGACAAAACCTCCGAAATTTACCGGTTTCCCCGAAATTTTCACTCCAACAGGTGGAACACAAAAATAAACCAGTGGTGTCTGAAACGGACTGTCCCAATACAGATAAAACCGGGAGCCCGCAGCGGGGGCCGAAGCTCGGCGCTGCGGGCCCTCACAGCTCTGCAGAGGGGCGGGACGGGGGCAGGGGGCCCCTCAGAGCTCCACGCGGCGTTCGCGCCTCGCCGGCCGCAGGAGGGGTTTGCTGAGGAGCGGATCCCACCGGCCGCAGGAGGGGTTTGCTGAGGAGCGGATCCCACCGGCCGCAGGAGGGGTTTGCTGAGGAGCGGATCCCGCCGGCCGCAGGAGGGGTTTGCTGAGGAGCGGATCCCGCCGGCCGCCCCCAGCCCCACCGCACCCCGCGGGGCCGGCGGCGGGTAGCCCGCCATCTTGTCCCGGGGGTCCGACGGGGCACGGGGCTCCAGGCGGAGCCGTGCCCCCGAGGGGCGCTCCCCGTGCCGCCCGCCCCACCCCTCCGAGCCGCTCACACCTCCGGCTCCCGGCCAGCCATACCCCTCACGGCGCTGTTCTGCCCCGGCCCCATGGCTGCTGCTCCCGCTCCGCACCGCGCACGCGCCGCTGCCCAAGATGGCCGCGGGGCCGCCCCTTAAAGGCCTCCCGGCAGGGAGAGGGGAGAGGCGGAGGTTACGCGGTGTGCGGGACGGCGCTTGGGCAGGAGGGAGGAGCGGACGAGCGCTGTCACTGCCTGACGCCCGGCGCAGGGCTCTCAGGGCTCTCAGGGCTCTCAGCGAGGCCTCTGCAGCTGTAACATGGGTGTTGTCACCCTGTGCGTCCTGCGCACACACACTGCTCGGCTCGGCGCGCCGCCGCCGTTCTCTTCTTCTGTCAGTGACCAACAGCTCTGCAAAACGCTTAGGGCAGATCGCTCTGTGACCCCTCTCCTCTGTAGTTGTGGAAAGATTAAGCGGAAAAGTGATATCCACCACGTGACAGCCGCCTCAAACCCCATAAGCTTGGGTATTGATGTGAGAACTACTATACCTCAAAAAATTATTATCCAAGTTCTATACCTGGTTGAGGACTCGCTACTCTGGGACCTCGTTTATGGTTGGATCTTATAGCAAAGATGTGTGCTTATGTCTTTACAAAATGCTTCCGTGGGTGAGGGATGGAATGGTTTTAATGTCTTTGAAATGCACCTTAATGTCTCTACCAACTTCAAGCCACAGGTTTGTTACAGAACCCAGACAGTCTGACTCTGAAACAAATGGGTTGGCACAAACCCGAATTTCTGAACTTTGGGGGAAAAGTACATATACGAGGGGGGAATATGTGCTAGGCTGTTCGGGAAGGCTGTACCTTCCTAGTACCTCAGTACTCAGGGAAAGGAAGAGGGCACCGTGCAGCCAGGAGTTCAGGGTAAAAGGAGGCTGCACCCTTCCAAACCTTGAGAGAGAAAATCCTATGGGTGTGTGCCCCAGTGAACTCTGCGTGATTGCTCCGCACTGATTCGATCTTAAGAGGTCTCTTTCAACTTTAATAATTCTATGACCTGTTCAACAGACTTTTCAACCCACAGGTCTACTGCTTCTCTCACACACCATCACGAATATGACACACCTTTTCCCTGTATGCAGTTTTGAAGCTTCACACGGTTACTTTCCTCTTCCTCACCTCTCCGCGTGCCGGCCGTGGCTTTCACCCCTGCGTTCATTAGACACAGACCGATGTCCGTGATTCTTACCGCGCCCCGGGGTGCCTGAGGGGCGGGACGGGCCCGGCCGCCACTCCCGCAGCCGCGGACTGCGCTGCCCGGCGAGCCCCGCGCGCGGCCGCGGCCCCGCCCGCGCAGGCGCACACAGAGGGCACGGCGACCGCGGCCCCGCCCCGCCCCGCCCGGCCGCGCTCCCGCCCCGCGCTCCCGCCGCCTGCTTCGCGCTCCCGCCGCGCGTTCCCATGGCGCTGAAGCGGATACAAAAAGTGAGTGGGGCGAGCCGTGGGAGGGGGCGGAAAGGTCCCCCTGCCCTCGGGTAATCGCTGGAGCTGCCCCCTCCCCAGTGCCGCGGGTTGAGGCGGCGGCCGGACCGGGCTCGGCGAGGGGTGTCGCGGCAGCCGCTGCCGCGCGCTTTCTTTGCCGGGACTCCTCCTTGCCTCGGCGGCAGCCGGGGAAAAAGAGTGTGTGTGAGACGGAGGAGGGGGGCTCCTGCCGGCCGCCCCTCAGTTTCGGGACTCTGCCTCCCTGATGAAGGCCCCGCGCCCCGAGCCGGTGCTCGAGGTGCCGTTCGTGGACCGGGAGCGGGGCAGCCGAGGTGCCGCCGGAGCCTTCAGCCCAGGCGCAGGGACAATATTGCTGCCGTTGTTGTGCACGGGCTGTAGCCTGGGTTAAGAAGTGTTGTCAGCACAGTTCTTGGCGTGACCTTTGAGCGTATCCCAGTTGTGGTGTTTGGGGCTGGTACTTGTAAGGGCCTGGTTGAAGTTGTGGATTCCCGTTTTCCTTTTGTTTGGCAAGGCTGAGCTGATGGCTGTGCAGTACGGACACGGTGCCGCGGCCAGCACGGCTGGGGATTAAAGGTTAGTGCTTTGGCCGTGGAACAGAATCCCTGGTGTTTGGTTGCTGTTGATGTGCCATGTTAAGGCGGCATTGCTGCTATCCTGGTTATGTGACGGTGCGATTATTTCTTGTGCAGGATTCCCATTTGCTGTCGGAAGCCATTGGTATTGCAGAAATAGGATTCTGTAGTGACGGATTAACCCCACGGTAGGCAGATTTGGGATACCCTACAATAGATCTCAACTTATTTGGATGGATTTCTATCAGAAGTTGGTAGTCCTGTCCCATGCTGCAAAGCCTATGCCTTTACACAAAGTGCAATTACAGGACAACTTTGTTCCTTCATATCGCGTTTGCCATGGTTGTTGCATTCGACCATTATATCAAATATTAACAAATTACTACAGTGGTTTTCTTTAGCAACAACTTTGTCGTGCTTCTACATATTATACAAATGGTTTGCCTCTTGTTGTCACTTTCATTTCCCACCTCTTCTTGAACATCTCCTTGTCCTCAGGTTTCAAGAAAAGGATTGTTCTGATTACGATATCTTTCCAATTCTTGTTCAGCTTCTTTCTGCTAAAATAAACACACAAAGGGAAAAGTCTGGTAATCTAGTATTTTTGAGATGGAGTGGTGATTTGGGGCTTTCCAAATGAGGTCCTGCTAGAATAGAATTAATTAGTCTTCATACTTTTATCATGTTGCTTGCATAACTTTCTTTCTACTTTAGAGATGTTTATACATATTGGAAACCCACAATTTTCTTTAATGTGGCATTTAAGAACTTTTGATAGATGTGAAGTTATGGTTAGGCTTTTTATCTAAGTATCTTTCATTCTGTTAGCCTTATTAAATTCTGTTTCTACTCTTTCAAAATGAAACAATGCTTTCTAACCTGCTGACTTGTGAGGTGCTACGAGATTGCCTGGTTATACAATAACTTCTATCTGAAACATGAACAGATACTGGGTAAGGTAATTCCAAGAAGAGTTGAGATTAAATTTGGAACTGGTTACCACTTGCTTCTCGTTTGCTGCAGAAATGACTACTGCTAGTTTTCTTTTTTTCCCATTAAGTACCCTCATCACTCTCTTCTGCCTTTCCGGGAGAAGAAAAAGAATTCTACCAGAGGGATTTGGCTAGCAGTCTGTCTCTTGAGAAGTAGAAAAGGAAAGGGAATGGCAAGGAAATAAATTTGTTTTAAATGGAAAGTTAAAATGAAGTGGAGAATTTTGAAAAGACAAACTGTTATGATGTCATTGTAATACATAACATTTTCCCCAAAATTATGGAAATGGAAGTTTAATGGTAGATGAAATGCATTTGTATGTTGGTGTGTTTGTCTCCTCTACTTTCAGATGTTTCAGACTGGCTGTAAAGGTTCATAGTTACGCTGTGTCCGAAGGATAGGAGGGGATAAGATCTGGAGTAGAGGAAGTGCTGTGGTTTCAGAGTGCCTAGAGGAATTCTTTGGAGAACAAAACAGTGTTAGCAAACACAGTGGTATTGCTTGGAGCTCATCAGTCTAGACATACTGTCTGAAGTTAAGCTTTGGTAGGTTTAGGGTGGTTCAGAACAAAGCCAAGGGATTTTGGTGTCAGCTTGAGTGTTTGTTCACAGTAACTTTGATAATTTGTCTGTTCACTGTGATAACACCTACAAAGGAAGCAAAGCTATAATATGTCAACCTGTTAGTAAGCATATTTTTTTGTCATACTGTCTGATTTCTAAGTAATATTGCCACTGGGACCTGTGTCATTGCATCCTGCCTTTGGCTGATCATCTTTGAGGGCTCCTCAAAGGAGGATAGCATGTGGACTTCCAAGACTGTACCCTAGTTACAGAAAGATATACTGTGCTTGGAAGCTTCTTTAAAAATGGGCAACTGAGTAAGCAGTGAAGAAGCTGATCACTGCACATGGAGCTATGTTGACCTTAGTGCTGTAGGTGTGAGAACAGTGAGGACATGCAGCCCTGCTCTGCAGGCACAGCTGTCAGCAGTGTTTCTGTGACAAACTCATCTCACAGTTCCTCAGGGAGTTTGGGGTCGGCGGATTCTTACTCATCGTAAGCTGAGGATCCTGTGTTCATTTGCCTTGTGTGTGCTTGGCTTTGCTGTTGTATGAGAGAGGCACTGAATTTCTATACTGTTAAAAAAGTTCAGTTACACCATCTGTGATGTTCCTTGGGGCACTGAAAGAACAACTGAAAGATTTTTGTGGGCAGTGTAAATTCCAGATGTTGCAAATGATGAAAGCAAAACAAATAGTGTAGGTTTCTTTAACAGAGAACAAATATGGTGCAAAGAAGCCTTTATTCTTGCCACCTCTGGAAAGTGAGATACCATGACTTTTGTGAGAGGTGAAAAATAATTCAGTCTGTCAGGTTCTGCAGAATACTGTGTAGGTCTCAGTTCTGCCCATCTGTCTTATGCAGAACCATCTTTCTGGGGTTCCTGTTCCAAATTCTTCGTTCACATATCTAATTTGCAGAGTTTGCCATCCTGTTAGTTCCATATTGCAGCTGGGATTGTTTTCATCATAAGTCCTGCACCTGCGTGTTCCTCCAGTGTTAGTGGGAGGTTGATGTGCTCGTTAATGCTCAAGGCTGTCTTACACATATTTTGTTCAGGCTTAAAAAAAATAGGACTTCAGGAGATTTTAGAAGACATTTTGAAACCAGGAAGGAGGAGATAGATTTGAACACTGCTTTAAGAATAGCTGTTGTTCTTATTGATACATAGTGCTTGATTGGTTTTCTTCTACAACTCAGTAAGAATAGAAACATTCAAACATTGAATTGTTTCAGTGAACTGTATGTTTCTGGGGTTCAGTATGTCTTTCATATATACGTAGGTTAACAGGACATACTAACTTGAAAAGTTATGTTGAAAATAACTTTCGTTACTGTATATTGACTCAAATAAACATTATTGCTATTTGTGGTTTAGATTTTGACTTTAAACCTGCAATCTTTGGATGGTAATCAACATAACAAGGAAACTTTTTTGGCCCTAACATAAAATGTTTGAATTTACTTTCAAAACCTCAGCTGGGATACTACATATTTTAGCAATATTTTTTTTTTTTTGCATTAGAGCAGTGTATGGAAATAGAATATATACTACTGACTAACCATTATATCAATAAATCTTATTATAAATATGTGCTTTATATTTACCAAATTTGTGAAGAACCAGAGAATTCTTTAACTAGTCTTAAGTATGATCACTGAGGGGTTTTATGACAAATGGTTCCAAGCAGCAGTGTAGGCATGGAATTGGTGGGAAATAAGTCTGTGGTCTACAGTGCATTTTGTGCAAGAAATTAAGAACATAACTGACAAAGATAAATCTATATTTTAAATAACAGTGTGGAGAAAAGTTTTGGTTTTGTGTTGTATGGAGAATGAAAATAGCTTTTAATGATGCTGTCTGCAGTTTATTTTGGTCTTCAGATAATCTGCAGTCTTTTTTTCTGAATTTTTTTTTCACGGAAAAAAAGACACGTTTAGGACTTCTATGCTGAGAACATTTATTTCCTTATCACTGAAGTGTCCTTTACAATGTTGTTCCAATAGCTTTTTGGGAGAGAAGCCTGGATGCTAATCAAGCATCTAAGTGTTAAATTGGCCTTGCAGTTTTTAACTTCATATTTTTATGACATACATCCTGTATTATTCTGACCATGGGTATTAGTCTGCACATTCAGAAATGTCTCCAACGTTTATACTTTATCACAGCTTGGTTTTTACAGCTGTTAAACTTGAATTTTTGCTTCATGCTGTCTACAGGGCTGTTCAGGAACGTGTGTGTTGCAAGGGAAGGTGATAATTTAGAGGTTTTCCCCATCTCCAGTAGTATGTTAACCGTTAGTATTCTATTCTACCCTGAAATGTTTTGTATGAGAGGATTAGAGGATTTATTCCTACCACTGTCCCCAGCTTAGTTATTTTTCTCCATGCACGTTTATCCTGGCTGTGCTGGGACAGTGTGGCATGTGTTGGAGCTCTTGAGAGGTGCTTTTACACTGTCACATTCACCAGTGTTTGAAACAACTCATACTTCTTCTGATGCAGTTCTTGCAGCCAGAATCTTGGGTTTGTGTGCTCTCATAAAAGATATTGCACCAGTGTACACTGTAATTTATAGTGGTGACTTTCCCTTTTGAAAATTAATCTGCACTGCTTTGAGCTATAGATCCTGTTTGTCAGCATATGTACATCTTATACCAGCACTTTCTATAGCAGTGACTAAAAGTATTCATGCCGACCCTTGAAGTGACCAGACCTGCCTCATGCAGCTACATGGTAGTAATCCATAAAGCTTGGACAAAGCTGCTTAACTTAAAATTAACTTAAAATTACCAGGCAGTCTCTAGTGTTGGCTGTGTAGTGCCTCACATGCAGTTATCTTGCACTTCTTGATGAGGTTTCAGCAGGTTAAACTTTGTGGATCTTCAGCCTTGTCCCTTAACAAAGCAAAGTTTTAGCCTTGTCCCTTAACAAAGCAAAGTTTTGGCCTTCTCAAGAGTATCTGTGCTTTGTATAAAGAATCTTGTATTCTCATTCTTTTGTGAGTGTTCAATTCTGGGCACTGGCAGGTCAGCCTGATTCAGGGACATCTGAGTATCTCCTTGCCCCATTTCAAAGGTATAGGAAAGCTTGAAACCTAAATCTTACAGCTCTCCAGATAATTTTGCTTTGATCCTAAAGCTTAAAAGCATAATCAGCAATATAAATCTGAATAGTTCTTCCTTTTTTATCACAGCTTGATCTGAATTTCTGTGTCGAAAAGATTCAAATTGTTCATACTGTTGGATTGTGTTACCACTTGTATTTTTAAACCACATTAGCTTCACATATGGATGCAAAATGCAGCTTGAATTTGCTCTACTGATTTTTAAGTTTTATCTGGCTTTATGTTTCGTAGCTGCAGAAGCTCTCGGAATGTATTTATGAACATTGCTCTCATTTGGTGAAGCTGATTGAAGAGAACCTTTTCTTCATTGTTGTTAGGAAATATTAATAACAGGTTTACAGTTGTGGGTCTCATCAATGTATGGTGGAAAATATTTGCTGGTTTTTTTCTAATCATGAACAGATGTCAGTGCCTTTTTAGCCTGAACAAATTGAAGTGTATACCCGAGGAGCATTCCCCAGTTCTGTTAATTCTTAAGTACATGTGTATATATGAAAGAAAACAAATTTGTGTGGTTTTGGGGTATGTAAAGATCTTTATGAATACATCTAGCAATAAAAGCACTGTTACAGACTGACTCTAAGTGGTTGCCTGGTAATTCCTATATGCATAAGGAATGTTTGCATATACTTCAGAGACTTTCTGAAAAGTTTAAGCTACATATTTTTCCTGTTACTGCCTTGAATTTGGTAGTCAATAATGACTGTTGTAAAATGCATGATTGTTAGTCTGAGTACTCTGTTTCGGCACTGTAGTGCAGCTGTTTGGTTTTGGTTGGGGTGTTTTAGTGTGTGTACAAGACTTTATCTTCTCTTCTTAGGTTAGATCTTGAGCTGTAAATTAGAAGACAGTGCCTGTAACATCTCTGCTGCTGGTC